AGGTTAATGACAAAGGACACAACTCATATTGGATATAAGTCGGTCTCTATGTTGGTTTGCTTGTATGGATAAAGATTTGGAAAATCACTTTGCATTGATTTGATCAAGCTAGAAGTACAAAGATAGATACTGAAGTGAGTGCTAGGAGTGTCAAGCCAAAATGAATAGGATATAAGGAATCATGAATTGGCTTGACCATATTGATGTTAATTCATATATCTCAATCTATGTGAATCCAACTGAAGCTTGATTGATCTCAACATTCATATCTAGCTAGAAGACATTCAAGCAAGGATCATAATATTGAAGAAATGGTTTTTCAATGGATGCTTAGTATGATGTAACTTGAGTATGGCTTGATAAGGTGAAGATAGCAAGGAAAGGGCTTTGAGGGACTAAGCGGAGGTGAAGGGCAAGCGATGGCTTGAGGACCGAGGTACCATGGCTAAGGTGAAGAAGAGAGTACTTGCATTGAGTCGAGGAACTAATCAAGCTATGAGGAGTCATATTATGTTGAGGATCAAATCATTAGTGAAAGTGACTTGAAGTCATGAGGTGAACACATATGTATGGAAATGGTTCAAGACACATGCTCAAGGTGTGTTTGCTCGAAGAGATGAGACAAAAATGATTGCAACCCCATATGAAGTGATATTGAGAAGAAATGGCATATGAAGACATTGAAGACTCAAGTAGTTGAAATAGTTATATTCTCTTGATTTTGAGTATAGGTTTATCAGTAATTACATGGACTAGATTTATCATATAATGCACCCTGAGAGAAAACACTTAGTTGACTTAAGAGCAACAACTTGATTCAAAAATCCAAGATGAAATCATCAAGATGTGGAGTAATGGTCTATGTTGTTTCCGGGAGTTGGAAGTGGCATGATTTTTAGCAAGCGCGCGCCAGTAGTGCCATGTGCCGGAGTGGCGGTGTCACACCTATATGCATAACCACCAAGAGTTTGTTTGGGGTGGGTATAAAAAAAACAAGTTCCATCTTTATGGGTTGAGAGCTCTCCCCAACCCTCTCTTTGTGAGAGTGAAGTTCTTAGTAAGCTTAGTATGTGCCAAAGCCAATAAGGATGTGGGGCTTCGTCAATCTTTGTTGCGCATTTGTTTGAAGGCTCTTAGATGGCTAGGCATCACTGCATGCTCTCATGCTTGTGGTGAGCCATAGGAAAGCTAGATCACCCCACAACTATCTCATCTCAAAGTTCACGTGGACACTACACCTAGAATTTAGTGACATAGGCAAGCCAAACCAAGGGATATTATCCAGAGATATTCACTTGGTTTTGTGTGTTTGTCCGAGGTTACATATTTCATGCACATTTCTAAGTTTGGGTTCTAGGTGTGTTTCATCCAGTGTAATGGCCTGGTGCTTATGGAATGTTTTTCCTTCAGAGAACCTATTATTTGACTAAAATTAAACATGGCCTAGTGAGCATGTAAAGTCAACATTCTATAAATAAAACAAATTATAGGCATTGATTTTTAAACAGAGAAGAATCTCAAGGCTCAGAAAAATCCTAGATGACGCATACTAATGAATAAATAGCCAATGCTTGAATTAAGCAATGTCATAATCTATCTATCTATCTGGAACTATGCGGGAGAGAAAGGGCAAGCAAGCAACAATGGTGAGAGTGCTTAGAAACATGAGACGCCGAGGGAGGCAAAAGTCGAGGAGAAGGCGGCATCGGGGGGGGTGGGGCAAGCAAGTTGCTAAAGAACAATATCTGAATTCTCAACGTTATGGAGTGCATGTGGCTTCTCGGCGATGAATGTGAGATGAGCAAACAAAGCATTGGTTTGGGCAAAAGGAGATGGCGTATCATGCACATGACGTCGGGTTTATCGGTAATTGCATGGACTAGATTTATCATATAATGCACCCTAAAAGGTGAAAGAGCAACGACATGGCCATCGATGTGGAGTAAGAAGCATTAGCAAGCAGTGAAACAAAATCAACCAAAAAAACAAGATATGCCTCATCCGAATCGGTCCTCTCGCCATGCAAAAAGAGAATGGCGTCCACCAGACCTAGCCTACGGCTATCTCAGCAGACGTGGATGGCTACACCTAGAAAAACCATGGAATCGTAAGAGATTGGAGTTAGATGAGGAACAAATCCAAATCGAATCCGTGAGGTGGAAGCGTCGGACGGGATCCAACTTACTAAAATTAAACATTGGTGAGCATGACCTATGCTCGCCTAGATCCGGGTCGGCGGAAAAGTGCCAAGGCTAAAAAAAATCATGGATCACGCTACTAGTAAATAATCGGGTTGAATGGGGGATTCTTCTCAACGGACACGAGTGCTTAGAGCCAAAGTCAAAGGAGGAGGAGATGAAGTGGGCAAGTGAGCAGCTGAGGCAGCTTCGAGGCGTCATTGTCGGGAGGAGAGAGGAAGCACGAGTCCCAAGATTTGAAACAAAATCAACCAAATCCGTCATTACTCCTTCCTCTCTATGACTAGTGGGCCAAAGGCACCATGGCTTGGGTAGCCTATTTAAAAAAACGCTAGATGCACGCCGAGCCTTGGATGATCCATCGATGGCAAGAGGAGTTGCAATGATCTATTTGCACATAATCGCCAAAAGCACGCAAGAGCAGATAAAAAACAAAGTCATTACCATATAAGTAACTACAACGATATAGTTATTTATAGTGTGTGTATATATATACATGTCTATAGAAATGATTTTTCAAACAAAAACTCAGATATATATACCTTATTATATATTATTATAAAACAAAAAATTAGATGAGCCTTTAAACAAATGGCAATGAACATATTTTAAAATTCATCCTTTGGTATCTTTAGTCAACAACTAGTCTACTCGTATAAAAAAACTACTATGACAATTATGTTTAATTTATCTATTTTTAAATGAATCAAATTTTGTTGTTATAAATTATATATGAGGAGAAATGGATGGTTAAAATGTGACATTGATATGATGACTGCAGCAAGTCAAATTGCTGGTTATGTTTTGAAATTGTTGAGTGTCCTCTGTGTGCCCGTTTGGTAGTGTCATGGTGGAGCATCTAGGTGCATAGGTTATGGATAGCCCACTAACGGCCCGTGTGAATTGCCATTCCAAGGTTATTCGAAGAAGCAGGCATGTTAACGCTTTAGGCTTCTATATAGCCGAAATGAAGAAATTTTAAGCGAATCACAAAGTAATTATATAGAAATCAGTCCATTTTAACACGAAAATAGGAAAAATTCCGCATTCAAAGAGTCTTAATCTGAACATATGTAAATAACATATACTCCCTCCGTCCTGTAATATAGTGCATTCTAGCGTTTAAAATTTATCCTCAAATATAATACATTCTAGAGAACAAAACCCAGTTTTGCATTAAATATTTTTCATTTATCAACCAACCACCATTAACTACGTTGATAATAGCATCTGATTAGGAAATAAAACAAGGTACATGAGTCTTTATGTTCTCTCTTAATTTATCTTAAAATTCTTAAAATGCACTATATTACATGATAGATGGAGTATATATTTATCATGAACAAAACTTTTAACTTGTCATGCTCTTTTTTGAAGAAAAATCTCATGCTTACTAGATATTATAGTGGTGATACGATAAGAGAAAATGGCGGTTAAAGATAAAGACTCGAAGACAAGACATGTCGGTTGTATGATTGTGTCGAACAGTGTGACCAGAGGGATTACTTTGGTATCTCACTAAATGCCAACACACACAAAGTTAGGTTTGTCAAACGCCGTGTTGTGTCCATATGACCATATGTCCATATCCCATGGCCATATATATGCATGTGTGTCGCTGGCCTTTGTGCTGGGAGATACAGATCCCTTCTAGACTCGTGATAATACACACATAGATATAGGCAATGATTTTTTTTTGTGTAACAATAAGAGCAAGTATAACAAGGATTACTCAGCCGGCTAAATAGAGTCCACATCAGAAAAGTAGCGTGATTTGGCAGAGAGAGAAAAGGAGAGAGGCAAGAGCCGGCGCTTAACTCTCAGCCCGGCTGAATCCCACCATGCAGCCTGTTCTCAGCCAGCTGCAGGCTGCAGGTCGACGGTTGGCTCCCCATCTTCCTCGCTTTGGATGCCGTGATACGTCCACACATACGTAAGTATTAAATGCTTGTGATCATTGTTGCAGCAAACATATAAGGCCCACGTTGATGAAATTTTTGGCGAGGGTATATGAGTTTTATGTTCTCTCTTAATTTGTCTTGTAGCATTTCATTGTACATATTTATTTGAACAAAAAATTGTTTAATTATGCTTACTAGATATTTAGGCTTAAAAGATGGGGGTTAAAGATAAAGACTCGAAGTCAATTCTGTTGTATGATTGTGTCAACTGTGCAGAATTACTTTGTTATTCTTGCCAACACACACAAACATTTCAAAATGCTCCATACATATATATGCATGATTTGATGCTGGGAGAAGGAATCTTGAAAATGTTTTGGATTTTAGACTTGTGATCTAAACAGACTAATATGAGTTGGCTATATAACTAGCTATATATATGACATGGCATGGTGTTACAGTTTTCAGCTGGCTAAATTATTTGCCTGTTCCCAGCCAGCTGCAGGCTATCGACGTTTGGCTCCCCATCTTCCTCGCTTTGGATGCCGTGATACGTCCACACATAACGTAAGTATTAAATGCTTGTGATCATTGTTGCAGCTATGAGTTGAAAATATAATTATTCTATATATGAAAAAGCACGTGTTATAAGCCAAGCTAGTCAAATTGATTAGCCTTGCTCTAGAGGGGATGAGTTGAACCAGATTCATGGCTAGCTAGCCATGTGCTCTTCTCACGAGGCTGCTCTCTAGCTCCATGATCATCTGCCCCCTCTGAATCTTCTCGCCAAGGCTGTCAGACAGACCAATCGCCCTACAAATAAATTGGGACACATCATCAGAAGCTCAGTACGTGGTTGCAAAATTGCCAAGCGCGTATCCATCAACACAGCTAGCGTGCAATGGGCGCCGCCAGGACGCCGCTCCTCGCGCTCGCCGTCGTTCTGCTCCTTGCCGCCGCCATGACCGTCGGCGGCCACGAGCACGCGCTCGCGCGCCTGGCTGATGGTCATCCCACCGCTGAGCGGCACAAAAGCATTGGTGAGTGACAACATGACCTCCTTCAGTTCTCTGCCACCTGATGAGCTATCACATCGATCTGTTTGTCTCGCCGTGGGCTGCTAACACGTACGCGCGTGCCATGGCAGTTACCGGAGCCCGGAGCCGGAGGCTCCGCCGCCGCCGCCGCCGTGGAAGAGGACAAGGCGTACATCGTCGGGCGGCCTCTGTTCAAGGTTCCACCCAGCAGCCCGTGCCGCCGTGCCAAGTCCGCGCGCTGCTGAAAAGATTTCGAGCTCCTGTCTGTTACTCAGCATCGTTTCCTCTTTCCTGGACTGCACGCCGATGAGAATTTATTAGTTCTCTCAATTAATATAGGCTTGTTGTTACCGGTCAATTGCTAAGCTAAGCTTCTTGTCTGAATGGAGTGAGTGACTGAGTGTATGCCTGATGGCCTTGAGACTTGGTTATTGGATTTAAATAAAAAAAAATAACTTGGGATGGTTGCCGAGACACCTTTTGGAGCAAGAGCCACATTTTCATAATAGAAAAAGGGGCGTCCAATAGCCTCTTTGGGAAGCAATCCGTCCATTGACACCCTGTCACCTGGCAAGTAAGTAAGTATTTGCTTACTGTTACCTGTGTACTGGATTGGCAGTTTGGAAGTCTTGCCTGAGGTGGATGACGCTTTTTGCCGCATCCAGTCCTTTGGGAACTCACTTATACCAAACAAAACAGAGCATTAGGCACTGCTGATTCATGTGATGTGGTTGTAAGTAACTGTTGTATTTGCTTTCTTAGCTGCTGATGTTCTGTGGTGATGCTGCAACTGTTACCTGTCAGAATTTGTGATCTTGGAGTTGTTTAGTAGCGTGTTATATTGATTCAAATTGTTAATCTCTTTGTTCTGGAATGCCATGGATCCAAAGTCCTCTCACATGCTATGTGCTTTCGGATCAAAGCTTCTGCTTCTCAACTGGTAGTAAGAGCCACTTTGACAAAGGCCACACAAAACGGCCTTTCCCCATAATATTTGTGTTGCAGACTCGATCCTATTTATTTTTGGCAGCTTGCAGGGCAGACTCGATCCTATTTATTTTTGGCAGCTGAAAAAATAGCAAATAGTCAAAATGAGATTCATATAATCAATTCTTTTTTTTCATTGCTGGTAGCTTACATTTCTGTCGAAAACGCTGCGCTTTTTGTAACTAACTCGTACGATAGCAAATAACGGCCCATAACTTGTATGAAAGCAAAGAAACGGCCCACGAAGGCCAACAACGGCCCATAGCTCGTATGAAAGCAAAGCAACGGCCCATCCCACGCGTGCGCCTCCAGTCCCTCCACCGAAAGCGTGGGCGATTCCAAATTCGTAATCCCCAAAAGGAGCCGTTCCGTTGGAGCGCCTCCCCTCAAACGGCTTCTCTTCCGTTCCGTCTTCCCCTCCTCCGCTCCCTCCCGCATACAAATCCTCCCCCAATCCCAAACCCTACTCCATCCACCACGCGCCCCGCTCCAGTTCCACGCACCCACCCATCGACGCCATCTCCGACGAGCAACCCAAATCCGCCGCGCGCGCGAGAGAGCGAGGGCCGGATCCGACCGATGGCGACGATCCAGCACCAGGCGGCTGCGGCGGCGGCGCCGAGCACGACGACTGGCGGCGGGCAGCGCGCGATGGACCTGTACGAGAAGCTGGAGAAGGTCGGGGAGGGGACGTACGGGAAGGTGTACAGGGCGCGGGAGAAGGCGACGGGCCGGATCGTGGCGCTGAAGAAGACGCGGCTCCCCGAGGACGACGAGGGCGTGCCCCCGACCGCGATGCGGGAGGTCTCCCTGCTGCGGATGCTGTCGCAGGACCCGCACGTGGTGCGCCTGCTGGACCTCAAGCAGGGCGTCAACAAGGAGGGGCAGACCATTCTCTACCTCGTCTTCGAGTACATGGACACCGACCTGAAGAAGTTCATCCGCGGACACCGCAGCAACCGCGAGAAGATCCCCTCGGCCACCGTGAAGGTACGTTCTCGGTTTCCTGCCCGCTCTTCCTTCTCTCCAACCCAATGCCGTGCCCTCCAGGTGTTTGTGCGAATGCGTTACCCCATGTTTGATGTTTGTACTCGCAGATCCTCATGTACCAGTTGTGCAAGGGCGTAGCCTTCGTCCACGGCCGCGGGGTGCTGCACCGGGACCTCAAACCGCATAACCTGCTCATGGACCGCAAGACCATGGCACTCAAGATCGCTGATCTCGGCCTCAGCCGCGCCATCACCGTCCCTGTCAAGAAGTACACCCACGAGGTTGGTTTCCATCAGCCGTGCATTAATGTTTCCTCTTGGTCCCTCTTATTGGATCTGATTAACATTGGAATTAACCTGAAACGTCTGTGCAGATTCTTACCCTCTGGTACAGGGCCCCTGAGATTCTCCTTGGCGCCACACACTACTCCACGCCTGTTGACATATGGTCTGTTGGGTGCATTTTCGGTATGATTTCGACGATGAACTCAGAGATCACTTCTGAATGCAAACTGTTTCAGAATTCTAACCTGGTGTAAATTGCAGCTGAGTTGGTTACCAACCAGCCACTTTTCCCTGGTGACTCCGAGTTGCAGCAGCTGCTCCACATCTTCAAGTAATGTCCCCCAGTGCCATAGTTCATTGTTTTATACTGTCTGAGTGGTGACTGTCTGATACTGACGGTGATCCATCCTGTTTCCTCGAATGCCAGGTTGCTGGGCACCCCGAATGAGGAGCTGTGGCCAGGCGTTGGCAAGCTGCCCAATTGGCACGTGTACCCCCAGTGGAGGCCGACGAAGCTGTCCACTCTTGTGCCCGGTCTTGACGCTGATGGTTATGATCTTCTTGAGGTCAGTACTCTGTCAGTAGTGAAAATGGCAGTACTCTTAATTTTGTGCAATATATGCATCTACTAGCCTATAAGAGAAAATGGCAGTGGTGGCTGAGAAGAACTGTGTGTTATATCTGCGGGGGATTACATACTCATATTCTTATTTGTGTTGCAGAAAATGCTGGAGTACGAGCCGGCGAAGCGGATCCCGGCGAAGAAGGCCCTGGAACATCCCTACTTCAACGACGTGAGGAAGGAGATGCACTGACTAAAGCGATTCAATAATCCACCGAGGGTGTGTTGAGCATGATTGCCCTGAAGCAGTTCTTTTGCTACCAGGGCACAGTAGCCTACCTTAGTTTCTGTTTTCTACTAGCTGCCTTAGTTTCTGTTTTCTACTAGCTGATTTTCCTGTGTGCTGTCTGCTGTGAACCATTCGCTTTGGTGGTTGTGATGGATGAAAACACTAGGGATAGGTAAGTTGAACATAAGCCAGCCAAATCGTGTTGGCGAGTGAAATGATGTTTATTGCATCTGTGTTGCCTTGCTCGATCATGTTCTCGTGGCCGGATTATGCAGGGTAATCATTCGTTGTAGCTTGATCTTGATGGCCATCGGCAGCTGTCCAGTACAGGGGAGGCGATGTGTCAGAGTGCTAAGTGTTGGTTATTCATCCCTGCCTCACATCGTCATCGTTTTGGTTATATACATAACGATGTGAGGCGATGTGAGCCATCTTCCATGGAAAGAGGGGCACTGAAATTTGAAAGGACCCGGAAAAGGAATGAAAACGAGATACGGGCTCCACGGAGGGCGTGACAGCAGCTCCTGCGTCCTGTTTGCCAAACTCCTACACAACAACTGGAGCTGTTGTCTTGCCCGTGTTTGCAAGTTCAAACATACAAATTATATTTTTCTTCAATGGTTTTCTACTTTCTCCATCCTTGAATAAATCAATTCTTAGAGTTGTTTTAAGTCAAAAACTTCCTTTAAGTTTGACTTAAATTATATAAAAAGGAAGAGTAAAATGCACTGTAGGTCCTCAAACTATTGGCTCCTTCCCATCTACGTCCTCAAACTATTAAACCAACTATTTATGTCCCTGATCTATTTCCGCGGCGCACGCACGGTCCAGATGCAGCCACGCCAGCCACATAATCCGACGTGGCCATGCCAGAGTGGAAGACGAAGGGTGAGGTCATGCCAATTTAGCAGAAAAGCCCCCCAACAATCTCGGCTGACAGAGATTGGGGGAGAGGGTGGCTGCAGTTGAAAGTGAGGAAGACAACGTTCGCGGGGGGCTTTTTGATAAAATGCGATACCTCGCCCTTCATCTGCCACTCTGGCACGGCCACGTCGGATTATGTGGCTGGCGTGGCTACATCTGGACCGTGCGTGCGCCGCGGAAATAGATCAGGGACCTAGATAGTTGGTTTAATAGTTTGAGGACGTAGATGGGAAGGAGCCAATAGTTTGAGGACCTACAGTGCATTTTACTCAAAAAAGAATGCTAAGGATCATTGACACCAAATTAGTATCACTACATTAGATACGTTTGATGTCATAAATATTATTGTTTCTTTCAGCAATTTAATCAGACATAAAATGATTTATTTAACTTATGATAATAGAGAGATTGATTTATCCGGACTATGAAGAAATGAAGAAGTAAAAGATTATTCTGTGAGCCGTGTTGGGTTGACAGACAAACGGACCAGCGTGTCATATACCGTGCTTGTGCCAAAGCCCAAAGCAGCCCGGCAGGCCAGGACCGTGAAGTCCCGCGTCTGCAGGCGGTAAGGAAGGAGTAGGCGAGTAGCACCAGCACGTCTCTGCTCAAGATCATCCTGATGTATCAAAGGAATTATGGGAAGGAAGATGGAAAGAGAGCGGGAGAAAGGACGGAACGCCTCGTCGTCGTCGTAACAGTGCGCGTGAGTGAGTCTGATTCCTGATCTCGTGGCAAACCATTACTATAGTTACTAGTACCAAAAATGGAAGGCGACGTGTTTAGCGGCTCGATTCACGATATAGATACCACCAGGCTCAGTCAGGGACACCCTGTTCCTTACGAGGTGTTTGGTTCCGCCCCTAAAATTTATGGGAACATATCTAGTATAAACCAACCTCTTCGTGCAAACCGTGCAAACCAACTGTGGAGAAGAGGTGGGAGGGGGGATTTGCAAAAGTGTAATTACGCCGCTCGTAATTACACTTTTGTAAATCCCCCCTCCCACCTCTCCCCCGCAGTTGGTTTGCACGGTTTGCACGGAGAGGTTGGTTTGCACTTGATACATTGCCAAAATTTAGTCCCAGTAAACATGTGTGGACACTATTTGAAATGTTAAACATAGATTAATTGTAAAACTAATTACATAGATTGAGACTAATTTGTAAGACGAATCTATTAAATCTAATTAATTCATGATTTGATAATGTAGTGCTACAGTAAACATGTGCTAATGATGGATTAATTAGGCTTAATAGATTCGTCTCGCGAATTAGTCACGGTTTCTATAATTAGTTTTATTATTAATATCCGAACACCCGATGTGATAATAGATATGATATCTGATGTGACACATCTTAAACTTTAGTCAAGAGGACAGCCGGGATGAGCCAAACGCTCGAGGTCACGAGGCGCGCGGCACCTGCCGGCTGGAGAGAACCAAACCAACCGTGTGTACCACTATCACCGCGCCGCATGGAATCGGTGCGAAAACGACCAGCTGGACTGGACTGCACGGCCGCCGCACGCCGTGAGCCGGTGGCGGGCCCGGCATGGGCTCTTCGATCGTCGGCCGCGTGGTGCGCTGGTTCGGTGCCAAGTACCAACCGCGTTCGTGTCAGCTGAAGCAGCGCGCCAGTGCACACGGCGTAAGAGCGAGGCTAATAATATAGGGTCTGTTCGACTGGTATTAAAACTGACTGAAGCTAATTTATTGTGAGAGAAAAATACTGTAGGTTCTAGCTG